CATATACGAGATACCAAATTAAATAACCAGGTAAAAAGTAAACATATATATAACATAAAACTAAATCAAAAATAGTTTCCAAATAATATACAGTTTAGTATAAAAAAAACTCCAGTTTTTTCAACCAGTATTCCGCATATAATAAACATAAAATGTAGTATCATGCTAGAGATAAACAGATAAACATAAAACGTTAATACCTCAACATCCAAATGAGTAACAGTTGCTTGATTCTGAGTAAATTTAAGCATTTCTTTATCACCATCTTGAAAAGATTTTATCAAATTTTCTGAATATTTTGCTTCATCACTCAAACCAAATCCTTCTATGCTACAAAAAAAAAATTATCATAAGACTTTTATTTAAATAATTTTTTCTTTGCTTTCATTATATTTAATTGAACATCATAATCTTTGTTTGTAAACATTTATAAAAATAATAACTTTTATTTATATAACAGAAAGTATCGGTTCAATTTAAAAATGACTTAATTTTAATTTTTTATAAAAATAAAAAAACGATAAAAAACAAACAAAAAACATTTTGTTTATAAATATTTCATAAACATTTTGTAAGTTATATAAAATATATCTTAAGAGAAATTTTCTCAATAATAAAGAACATAAAACAAAAATTCTATAAATAATATATTATATATAAAACAGTTTGAAACTTACTTAAAACCTTCGATTAATGAGTTATTAGCTGCAACAAAATCGCCCTCAGTTAAAAAAACAATGACCATACATAAAATGACCTAATAAATAATATTTTTATTATTTTATATAGTGTAAATGTATATATATATATATATATATATATATATATATATATATATATATATATATATATATATATATATATATATATATATATATATATATATATATATATATATATTTAAACAATTTTAAAATTTATTCTACAAAGTAGAGTGCTCAATGTTCTTAAAAGAAAAGAGCAATAATAAAGTAGTAGAAAATCACTTTGCAAAAATTTTTGCTAAGTGATTTTCTACTACTTTATATATATATATATATATACATACACACACACATATATATATATATATATATATATATATATATATATATATATATATATATATATATATATATATATATATATATATATATATATATATATATATATATATATATATATATATATTCCAGTTAAGTAAAACTTTGGCTAAAATTAGATATTAGTTGGAGTTATGGCAATTTTTCTTTATTCAATGCTAAACTATAATCATTAGATATACACCATTATTTAAATAAAAGTGTGAAAAAATGTTTCAATGAAAGAATGAACACACATAAAATGACCTAATAAAATATTATCTCAGAGTTGTGATTTAATTCCTGAGTTCAAGATAACAAAATTTGAGTTAACCAGTGTTCAACTTACTGGGATTTTACTGTTATTGATTATATATATATATATATATATATATATATATATATATATATATATATATATATATATATATATATATATATATATATTATATATTATATATTATATATTATATATATATATATATATATATATATTATATATTATATATATATATATATATATATATATTATATATATATATATATATATATATATATATATATATATATATATATATATATATATATATATATATATATATATATATATATATATATATATATATATATATATATATATATATATATATATATATATATATATATATATATATATATATATATATATGTATATATATATATATATATATGTATATATATATATATATATACACACAGCCGTAACCATAAGTTTAAATCCTATTCAAAAATTTGAAATAAACAACAAATAATATACTTTAAATATGTAATACTTTGGATAAATCAATAAGTTGGTTTTAAGTAAGAATCAAGTTTATTACTGGGATTCTCATTACTCTCAATTTTGTAATAAAATTGTAAAATATCATTAATTAATAATTCTATAATTAAAACTTGTCGCTATTACTGCATGTCGCTATTACTGCATGTCGCTATTACTGCATGTCGCATGAATTTTTTCTTGTACAAAAGACTCAAAAAAATAAATAAATAAAAATATTTCCAAATGAAGATAAATCTTTAATACTATTTCAGCAAGATAATGCTCCACGCCATACTGAGATCATACTAAGGAATGGTTGCTGAAAAATAAAGTCCAAATTTTAGAATGGCCAGCACAGTCACCTGATCTTAACCTTATAAAAAATTTAAGGGTAATGCTTAAAAAAAGGATCACTTCAAAAAAACATTTGATAGAAGTTATTGCTCTTGAATAGGCTAAAATCACACAGGCAGATTGTGAAAAAATAGTAATATGAAGCAAAGAATTGCAGAAGGAGGTGCAGCAAAACAATAAAATATTATTAAATTGTTTATAAAATAAATACTTTTAATTGAAAAACACGTTAATTTCACTCTAAAATCAAACTTTGATGCATATTTTCAAAAAAGTGAAAGTGGATTTAAATTACAGCTGTATATTTGACTATGGCTGTATATTTGCCCACAGCTGTATATTTGGCCACAGCTGTATATTTATATATAAAAATGGTATTATATTTAGAGATTTATTTTATGTTATTTTAAATAAGGATGTCATGGATTAACTTTTTTTATTTTCTATTACAAATTATTGACATAAAGTTAAAAGCAAAACTAGCATCTAGCAGTCTGCAAGCAACCACTATTTATAAGTCATTAACAAAGTTACAAGTCTGCAAGCAACCACTATTTATAAGTCATTAACAAAGTTGGAAAGAAGCTTTGATGTTAGAGCAGATGTAACTAGACTAACAATAAGCACTTATATTTTAAGATGTTTGTTATTCTAAAATATCTGCTATAAATATGTATATCTATTCAATGTTGACAAATACTTATATATAAGTAAGGTTTTAGTAGATTCTGCATTAAAAAAAGTATAAAATTGCTATTATCCATCAGGATTAGACAAGCGACCAAACAAATTTTAAAATATTTTTTAAAGTATGGATAAGTGGATGTTTTATTTAAAACTCCTCTAGAAACAAAAAAATTGCTTTTCACAATCACAACAACAAAGCAAATTTGATTCTTCACAATCGCAAACAAAATTTATTTTTTACACAATTATGAACACAAATTTATATAAATTCATTTTATATAAAAAAATAAATTTCAGTATTTTCTCATAAATTAAAAATTAAATTACACTATAAGCCATGCTTGGATCTTTAATTGCTTCAATAATTTCTAGCCGTCTTTTCATTAAATTTGTTGACTCAAAAAAACTAAAAAATAATAAAAAAACAACATGAATTAAAACAGCTGACTATGTTAGGTAAAACTGTTTAAAATTTCTGCAACAATTTCTATAAACAAAAATATGTATAAATAATGCACATAATTAGGCTAATTAGGTTGGATATGTTACTTGCAGTTTTTGCTTAACTTGAATTCGAATTGCTTGGTTAATATAATCAGATGCATCTCTCAATTTTCCTTCATTCTAAAAAATATAAAAAAATTGTTGCCAAGTTTTTTTTCCAACACATTAAGATTTATTTACCTTAAAACATAAATCATTTTTGTCAGCTTTCTTTTATACTATTTATATCTTCAATTATTTATTTATATCTTATAACATAAATTATTTAAAACTCTCATGCTATTAATTATGAAATTCAAAAAATAAAATAAAAGAGCGTATCTAATTTGTATCCAATCCAATGTCAAAGGAATTCTTTACATTTAATCCAATGTCAAGAGAATTCTTAGTACGCAACCCAACATCAAGAGAATTTTTAGTACCCAATCCAACATCAAGAGAATTTTTAGTACCCAATCCAACATCAAGAGAAATATTTAGTTAAGACTAAAATTTCCTCTTGACAATGCATACAAAGAATTTCCTCTTGATATAATTTGTATTACTTTTATAATACTTTTTGTAACATTTACATTTAATGCTTAATAATAAAATTTAATTTTAATACTTAATAATAAAACTTAATATTAATACTTAATAATAAAACTTAATTTTAATACTTATGGCGTTAGCTTTCATTAACAAAAGTTTATCTTAATACAAAATCTTTAATGATATATGCAAATTTTAAATAAATTATTTACTTATAATATATCTATACAATAAAATTCTTAATTAAAAGTCTTACCTCACAAAGCTCTGAAGCTTTTATAAAGAACTCAACTGCTTTATTTGGCAGTGTTGACTCACACATTCTAAATAAAATTACATTGTAGATCTTGATCTAAGTAAATAAGGAAACAAAACCATTTATTTTAAATCAATCATTTAAAAATAAATACTATATTTTGTTTTGTTCAAAAAGTTTTTCAAAATGAATAGAATTAAATTAGGGGAAGATGCAAGGTTGCATCTTTTTATTGAAATTTTATTGATATTTTTGATATGTTTTGTTCTATACTTTACAGCAAACAGTAAAATATTGTGGTAACTAAAAAATGTAACTTTGATTTACAAAAAATTTGAATAAGAAAAAATAATTAAAATACTAGAGAAAATATTAAAGCTCTTAAAAAATGAGTTACTTTGTAGTAAAAAACAATATCTTAAAATTACCAAGTCTGATAAAAATCAGGGTATATATTTAAAAATAAACAGATTTATAAAGTCAAAAAAATCAACTTTTGAGCTAACTGTACTTTTAATATTAAAATAAATTGACATTGCAGTTATTAATAATGGCAAACAATAGTAACTGACACATCACAGAGAAAAAAAAATACTTGCCATCTTTCACTAATGTTAATTGACAACATCAGAGTGAAAAAAAACTTACTTTCCAGCTTTTACTAATGTTAAAGCTGCTGTATCAAGAGCACCATGTTGTTGGTACAAAATACTAAAATTATGTCAATAAAATGCTGTTGGTATAGAATACTTAAATAAAACTTAAAGAGAGAAAGTTTTTTTTAATTTTAAAGTAGAATTAAAACCTTCAAAAAAATTTTATAACAAACCATGCTCTTTCCATTAGTTCTATAGTTATATTTGATTGTTTGAGTTCATTGGCTATACCGGCAGCTTGTACAAGAAGCCTAATTAAACAATAATACTTAAAAACAATTTTTTTTATTATTTTACTCATATGAACTAAAAATGGATGGTCTATTTATTTAGACTTTTAATCACATTTTTTTATTTTAAGTTATTTAGACTTTTTAACACATTCATAAAAAAATACAAATTTTTAAACATCGTACTTATGAAAACTTGTTTTAATCTATAAAAAAATCAACATAAACATCTCAAAAAGATAAAACTAACAAATTAAAGTATAAGTAAGCTTGATGAAAGATTTCAAAAGAATGTAAAGTATGTATTTACCCTCCTCTCTCTCCCCAATAATTTTAAAATGCAAAGCTTGCTATAGATTGAAAAAAACAAATATTTAAACATAAAATAAAACTGATTTTTATAATTTTATGCAGAATAAATAAATTCGAATAAATAAATACGCTTAAATTCGAATGAATAAATACGCTTTAATTCGAATGAATAAATACGCTTTAATTCGAATAAATAAATACGATTCGAATAAATAAATATGCTTGCATATACTTAACACATATACATTATAATATAATTATGCATAGCAAGTATGCATAACAAATATATAACAATTATAATATATCTATGCATAGCCAGTATACATAACTAAGAATCATTAAGATATAAAGCACAATAAGTATAGCATATTAAGCATATTTTAATCCATAAATTTATCAAAAATAAATAGATCTATGAGGTCTATTTATTTTTAAATATTTTGATTTTTGATAAGACTTATTACTTCTAAATAAATAATATTTAAAAGTAATTAATAGATCTCATCATAATTAGCAATAAACATACTTAGAAATAATCAAAACTAAAGCTGTCAATGGATACCCAGGTACCCGCCCCCTCTTACTGCGCAGGTAAAACTATCAAATGACAAGTAACTGTCATTTGATAAATTTAATATTCTTTTCATTTATTTTCTAAGTTTAAAATCATTAGTAGTAATAAAAAAATTTAAAAAAATTAACTTGGTATGAAAAAGAAGATCTTGAAGATCTTGTTGAATTAGTAGTAATAAAAAAATTAAAAAATATTAACTTGGTATGAAATAGGAAATAACAAAAGAATTAGTAGTCATAAAAAAATTAAAAAATATTAACTTGGTATGAAATAGGAAATAACAAAAGAATTAGTAGTAACAAAAAAATTAAAAAATATTAACTTGGTATGAAATAGGAAATAACAAAAGAATTAGTAGTCATAAAAAAATTAAAAAATATTAACTTGGTATGAAATAGGAAATAACAAAAGAATTAGTAGTAACAAAAAAATTTAAAAATATTAACTTGGTATGAAATAGGAAATAACAAAAGAATTAGTAGTAACAAAAAAATTTAAAAATATTAACTTGGTATGAAATAGGAAATAACAAAAGAATTAGTAGTAACAAAAAAATTTAAAAATATTAACTTGGTATGAAATAGGAAATAACAAAAGAATTAGTAGTAACAAAAAAATTTAAAAATATTAACTTGGTATGAAATAGGAAATAACAAAAGAATTAGTAGTAACAAAAAAATTTAAAAATATTAACTTGGTATGAAAAAGAAGATCTTGAAGATCTTGTTGTTAAAAATTTTAATAGCTATGATTTCTTTATTACTATTAGAATATCTGAAAACATTAAACATACATTTGGAAAGTTATTTGAGTTTGTGAACTCCTTGAACTAATGCATTTAAAAAATATTCAAAAAAACTAAAGTGTTATAATAAAACTCATTAATTAGTAAAATATAAATGTTTTGTAAAAGCTGTCATTTCTTCTTTATACTTTACTTTTAAAATGAAAAAATATATTTAAAAACTACAAATAAGTGAAAAATTATAAATAGAAGAACAACTCTAAATAAATGATATCATTAAATGAAAAATTTTTATTGACTGTTCGTAAGTATAACTTATTAAAAATTGTTATTTTAATGGCCCTTCAATCAAGAGGTATCAAGGCAGGCATTTTGATTTTGACCTAATCAAAACATACTTAGCACTGTAAAACAATAAAAAAAAAAATAACATACTTAGCACTGTGAAATAATCTACATTACAAATGGTTAAAGATTTTAATCAACATTATTAGGACATCTTAATTATTAAAACATCAACACCATCATTATAAGATTTTTAACAACAATACTAAACAATAATTTCAGCATTCAAACAATGAATTTTAGCACCCAAACAATGAATAAATTTTTCACAAAAATAAATTTTATCAAATTTCTATTATAATAATCATTAAATTAATAACTTTAATATAAACCTGTTCGAAACAGTTTTATTGTTAATTTGCTTTATTTTGATGGGTTTTTGATAAAAAGTATACTTTAGAACTATAAGACCTTGCTCTTATTGTAATTATATTATGATATATGCAATTTATGACCACAGTGTTTATTGGAATTTACAACAACATTTTAATAATATGTTTTGCTAAAAGTTTAAATTAAAATCTTTAAATTTAATTTAAAAATTGTAAAAAGTTATTATTTTATGAGTTCCTGATTTTCAAAATTTCTTTAATGGTTAGTTTAAATTAATAAAGTTATCAAATACAGAAGCCATTATTATTTGATACACAAGGTTTAATTATCAGCATTTGTCATGTTTCATGAGCAAAGTATAAAGTTTATTAGTTTTATAAAAATTATTTAAAAGTTTTTTGTTTTTGTTGATTCAATTATTAACATTATTTTACCCATAACTTGTAAGAAATTTTATGAATAGCTTTACTTTTATTCAACCAACTTTTTGTACTATTGAAATTTCTGTATTAATCGATCACTAATAACAACAATATCATCATTCTAACAACATTATTGATATAATAATACCTCCTTCAAAACCGTTATCATTACAAACAACATTGTATTTAAGACATTATTACTAAACTATCAGCATAAAGCAAAAAAACCAAACAATTAAACTAAAAAAGATACGAATTCAGTTTCTCATGCATATCAGCTGCTTTGATATAACATTCTTTTGCTTGTTCCATAGAAGATGCTGATTTAAAACTTGTTGCTCGAATAAAAAAAAGAAGTTTTGTTAAAAACATTTAGAAAAATCAAGAAAATACTTTTTTTATTACAAAAATGTTTAAAAACCTGCTTTTGTGTACTCATTTGCAGCTGTATCAAAATCAGGTGTCCATTTAAACAGGCTAGTCTTTAATCTATAAAAACACGATTTATTATTCAAAGGTGTCCATTTAAACAGGCTAGTCTTTAATCTATAAAAACATGATTTATTATTCAAAGGTGTCCATTTAAACAGGCTAGTCTTTAATCTATAAAAACATGATTTATTATTCAAAGGTGTCCATTTAAACAGGCTAGTCTTTAATCTATAAAAACATGATTTATTATTCAAAGGTGTCCATTTAAACAGGCTAGTCTTTAATCTATAAAAACATGATTTATTATTGAAAGCTGTCTATTTCAATTTATTCAAAGTTTTTCAATCTATAAAATCACTTTATAAACTAAAAATAAATAAATCATAAATTATAACTGACGCTTTTTCAGCTTCCTTTACATGATTAAGCGCCTTTTGCATTGATGATGACATCTACAGTGATTTCGTATAATTATTTTAAAACTAAAAAAAAATAATAAATATTCTGTACTTAGTAGTACATAATAAAAAACTTTAAAACATATCAATGTTATATTTTATAAAAGAACTCACAGCTAATAGATTTCATATCAGAAAAAGCAGTGTATTATTATAATAGAGAAAGGGCGGAAAGAGAGGAAAAGGGTACATTACACAGGGGTGAATTTTTAAAGATAAACTACAATAATAACAACAAATTACAATAATAAATAATTTTAGTATTATTTAATAAAATATGTAACAAAACCACTATTTGTAGATGTATGTTATTTAATCAAATAAAATTTAACAACACTGTTATTTAATGTATGTTAACAATTAAACATTGACAATAGTTTGACAAATTGTAAAAAAAAGTAACTAAAACATTTGCTTTCATTTTTGATGTGTTTTCATTTTCATTTATCCGCTAATCAGTTGTTTTTATACATTTTAAAAACAATTCATGTTTCGACTAACACTAGTCATCTTCAGTTAAAATTAAATATTTAAAATTTGTTAAAATACCTAAAGGTGTTAAAAAAAAAAAATATACAAAATATAATTATACTTGTACAAACTAATAATAATATAATTACAAAAATAAAATAAAATCACTTAAAAAGTTTATCATGTCATACTTAAGAAATAGGAAATAACAAAAGAATTGGTTAAAAAGATACGCAATATGTATATAAAATAGTAGCTAAACAGAAAGTGTCATTTGGACATGGTTAACCTGTTAATTTATACCAGGTTTTAACCATTCTATGAACATACTTTCTTTAAGTTTGAACTTAAATTTGTTAGATGCCAAATCTAAAACAGAAAAACACTTATCAATTATTTGATGAAACAACTTTCACTAGCATGGAGATGTGTATAGATATGAAACTTTTTACCTCTCTTGTAATGTTCAGATATCCAAGTCTTGAGATGGCAAGTAGTTTCGACTATATAACAGGAGTTACATCCTGCGCATACGAATTTATAGACCATGAACGATTTGAACCCTAGAGGAATAGGATCTTTAGAAGAAAAGAATTTAGAAATTTTTAGTGAGATAAATACTAATTTAATATTTGCTGAAAGGCAATATCTTTTAATATTTGCTGAAAGGCAATAACAACAGTGCCTATACCAGAAATGCATATGTGCCTAAGACCTGCACTGACACCACTCACCATAGATGTCAGTCAAATATTCTATATCCCCACTTTAATAAATTTTAACATTTTGACCTTTTAAAATACTTATATTTATCAAATATGTGAGGCCGTGGCGCAGTAGTTAGAGCGCTTGCTTTATAAGCAGGAGATAACGAAACCAGGTTTGAAACGAGCTTCGGACATATTTTGTGTAACTTCCTGGTTAAATACGGAAGTGTATTTAACGAAGTTAAATACACTTCTGTATTTAACCAGAAAGTTAAATACGGAAGTGTATTTAACTTCCTGGTTAAATACACTTCCAGGGTGCTCTGTGACAAGACCGTTAGAACTACTTGGGGCATCTAAATAACAAATTAAAAAAAAATGTAACTTGTTTTGTTCTTTAATTTAAAAAAAATTTTTAATTATTTTTTCAAATTGGTTTAATTTATTGCAAGCAACTAGTTTTTTAAAACATCGATTTTATTCATTTAAAATACTAACAGCTAACTTTAATTGTTCAAAAAAGCATTTTTTTTAAAAAAAAGCATTCTAAAAATTATTTATAATATTTTAGATATTTATATCATATATAATATTATTTGATAACTATTTTTTCATTATTTATATAACTTTTAGTTGTTTATATCTAAATATTATTTATGATATTTTAGGTATTTATATTATATATAATATCATTTGATAACTATTTTTTTAAAATTTATATAACTTTTTGTTGTTTATATCTAAAAATTATTTATAATATTTTAGGTATTTATATTATATTATACATAATATTTTTTGATAAATACTTTTTCATCATTTATATAACTTTTAGTTGTTTATATTTAAAAATTATTTATAATATTTTAGACATTTATATTATATATAATATTATTTGATAAATACTTTTTTATAATTTATATAACTTTTAATTGTTTATATTTAAAAATTATTTATAATATTTTAGATATTTATATTATATATAATATTATTTGACAAACATTTTTTCATAATTAATATAACTTTTAGTTGTTTATATTTAAAAAAATAGTTATATATATTATTATTAACTTAATATTATATTGAGTTATTTAAATATGAAGTTATAATAGCATAATAATATATCAAGTTATTTAAAATTCATTAATAACTTAAAAAGCATAACAATAAACATTCACAAAAGTTGCTTTTACTTATGCAATTGTTCTTGCTTTTACTTACGCAATTGTTCTTGCTTTTACTTATGCAATTGTTCTTGCTTTTACTTATGCAATTGTTCTTGCTTTTACTTACGCAATTGTTCTTGCTTTTACTTACGCAATTGTTCTTGCTTTTACTTATGCAATTGTTCTTGCTTTTACTTATGCAATTGTTCTTGCTTTTACTTATGCAATTTTTCTTGCTTTTACTTATGCAATTGTTCTTGCTTTTACTTATGCAATTGTTCTTGCTTTTACTTATGCAATTAAATCTTCATATAATACATACTACCTTATATATAACATATAATGTAGAATATATAATGTATAATATAATATATTCTACATTATATATTAGCTATAACCATTTAGACATCTATGTAAAAAAAAAAACCACTGCGAATTATAAGCAAAACTATGTTTTTATAAGTAATTGTTTATATATAGTTACTGTTTTATAATACTACTGTATTGAATTTTAAAAATAGTTTGATTTTAGGGATTTATTTTTGTTAATCTTTAATATGCATTTTTGATCTTGTTGTTCATGTTATTATGTTGTTAATGCGTTCCAATACTATCAAATATTGTTAGTAATATTTTACTGGTTCCATCAACAAGTACGGTAGTTAAAACATCATTTAGTAGACAATCTTTAATCCAAAATCAAAAGCAAAATGGATTTTGCTTTTGAATACAGGCCCGGATTTAGACACAAGCAGGGTGTGTCATGGCACAGGGGTCCCCACAAAATTAGGGGCCCCACAAACTAAAGATAAAAAGATTGATTGTTTTTGAACAAAAATTTTTTTTATGAAAGATAAAGTTTGTTAGATTATTTCAGAAAAAATTAGTTTTTCATAAATATTTTCATAATTATTCTAAAAGAAAATTCAATTATAATTTTAAAAGGGAAAAAAAACTTTCTTTTTCTTTAAACCATTTTTCTTTCACCAAAGTGACGCTAATACTCACCTACAGCAATTTTGATTTCCAAAAAAAAATTTTGGGAGTCATGGCCTAGAACCCTCTGAGGAGGGGTTTCCACATCAATATGACACAGGAGACTCACTAGGGTAAATCTGGCCCTGCAATAACAAATGACAGAGTATCAAAAGTTAATTTTTATTTTCATTATTTAGAATTCGCAAACAGAAAATGAGATGCAGAATAATCTACAACTCAAAGTTAAAGCCAAGAACTTTAAAATTATTTAAAAAACAATTTAAAATTATTTTTTAGAGAATTATTTAAAATTTTGTATCAAGTGTTAATATGATGAAAAATTATATATAAAATGTAATAAGGTTTTTAAATTCAAGAACCTATCATTTAATATATATATATATATATATATATATATATATATATATATATATATATATATATATATATATATATGAGGTAGTGGTGTATCATTTAATATATATATATATATGCGGTAGTGGTGTAGTGGTAAAATACTCGCTTTATAAGCAAGAGGTTCCAAGTTCGATCCCCACCACGTCCCTGGTAATACCACGCTCAACTTTTTTCTCCGCGCAGCGGTCTTGTTTGTCAAGGTTCGTGTTTTGGGGTTATAGAGTTGAGAGAGAGTTATAACCACTATTAAGTAGCCTCCTCGTCTGTAGTGGCCTTCTCAGCCTTGAGGAGGGGAATAACAAAAAATATATATATATATATATATATATATATATATATATATATATATATATATATATATATATATATATATATATATATATATATATATATATATATATATATATATGAAACCTTATACTTTATAATATATATATATATATATATATATATATATATATATATATATATATATATATATATATATATATACTTATACTTTATAAAATAATGTTTACACACTTTTATAATACTGCTTAAAACTTTTGAAATACCTACAGTCCTTCAGAAATAATATTTATCTACAGACCTGCAAAAATAATACTTATTATAAAAACTTATTCACTTCTCGCCAATTAAATTCTTTTTTACATTGATTGCATAACTTTAATGTCATTTTGATAACGCACTTTCGACAGCAAACATGAAAACACGGAAGTTTTAATAAACTTGTTCGATCATTCACACCGCAAACGTTACATATTTGAATAGTATTTTTATAAAAACTAGATGGCAGAACAGAGAGTGCTGCACTTAAACTGGAATGAAGACTATCATGTAGAACTTCTTCATGGTGAAGAACTTTGAAGGACTTTTTTTTATTTTCAACTGAGAATTTTGAAACTTCTGCATCATCACAAAATCTTTTGAGTTTTATTCTGTCATTATTTAAAGAGAAACTCTTATTTACAATTTCACAGTTATTTTTATTATTGAATATGTTGCATATATCAAATTCTCTACTAAGCTCACTGTTTTTCAAAGTATATTGGTCAATTCGAGTCTTAAGACTACTATTTGGTATAGGATATCTATTTCCATTAAATACAATACCAGTAAAAGGATCAGATGGCAATCGTCCATATTTTTGTTCTTCAATTATAAATTTATCAAGTGTTGAACTATCAACTGTGTTTCCAGAAGGTAAAAGCATAGGAATGGTCATCATACTACATGTAATTGGATCAATAAACTCTACAGGAATGTTTTCTGAAGTACCATATGACTTCAAATTTTGCTTCTTTTCAGTAAGGTTTTGCTCATCACTACATTCATTATTGTTTGGATATTGTTCATCACTAGATTCAATATTGATTGGATATTGTTCATAAAATTGTTTCATAAAAAGGGATGAAACACTACGAGAGTTAATATTTGCTAAAGTACCCCATACTTCAAGTTTTTTTATTGATGGTATAGTAGACCATGTAATTTTCAAAACAATATTAGAACAAGAATGAACAGAGCCATGTGTTTGCATTTCTCTGGTATTATCAGTAACACCTAAAAACTGCTTATAATGTAGTTTGTTCCTAAATACTATTTTTTCTGTTATCTTTTCACTTTCTCTATATATACCAACTTGGTTCATTAAATATTTGTTCTTCTTTCGACAAAGGTCATCTGATAAATCATTATTATATGTACATGGAAATTCAACAGTACTCAATATGGGTTTTTGAAATACAGTAAACAACACAAAACCACGAGTTCGATGACTATTAACTTTAGGATAGACAACAATCGCTGAAATGTTTATCAAGCAAGGAAATGTGAGGACAATCTCAACTGGACATTTGATATAATACTCAGCCATAAAATAACTTGGTTTAAGAAAATTCTTTTGGTTCTGATCGATTAGGTTTTCAATGCAACAACCATCAGCTGAAATTGCTGAGCAACTAATTTGAGTTTTAAGAGCTTTATCAGCAAAATTAATAAGTTCCCCATTCATCTTTTTAATTTTATGTTAGTAATAAAGCTAAAAATTATTAATAACAAAAAAATTTCTTTTATTTCAATATTTTTTATAAATTTTAAACACTGTAACTAATTTTTTTTTACTTATGTAAATGAAAACTGTGAACAAGTAAAGAAATTAGTGTAACTAAAATAAAATTAAAAATTAAAACCTTTTTATTAATCTTTGATTTATATGAAGTTATTCTTTAATTTAAATGTAGTTCTTCCTTAATTTTTAATTGATGTTATGTCTGAGCTTAATTTTTAATTGATGTTATGTCTGAGCTTAATTTTTAATTGATGTTATGGCTTAATTGAAGCAATCAATTGTTGTAAAAATATGTTGATATGTTTTTTGAAATTTTATCTGTTCCTCGATTCTTATGCTCAAATGACTTGACATATATTTACAATAAGAGCATAAATGTTATTGAAAAATAAAATGTGGTTTAATATATTCAAATAATTTAAACTTATTTATAGTTGAAGTGTTAAAGAACCTTTTTTTTAGTTGTAAAAATCATTTATTTAATTAGAATTAGTTGTAAAGAAATCATTTATTTAGAATTAGTTGTAAAAATTATTTATTTAGAATTAGTTGTAAAGAAATCATTTAATTAGAATTAGTTGTAAAGAAATCATTTATTTAATTAGAACACTTAATTATGACTTAAGAAAAGAGTTGCAGCTTAAGAAATTAATACTTAAAGGGTTGCAACTTTTAAAAAAATGTTGCTTTTGTATATGAAAGTATTAGTTATAAACATTAACTATAATCAATTATTAAATCAATTATGTTTATAATATATAATAACTATTAAAATTAAGGTATAAATGATAATATAGTTATCATAAGTTACATTATGATAACTTTATGTTTCAGAATCTATAATTATGTAGGATTGATTATCTGTTACATAGTTGGGAAAAAGAATGGGAATTATGTGTTATTGGGAGGTATGCTATTGTAAAGGAGAAAGAATGATGATCGAATTGCGAGGACAACTACAGAGATGTTTATTTTTAAGAAACCTCTGTAGTTAAATTTCTCTAAGTGTCAAATTTAAGCTTAATGAATCCTGGATTTTTTATTAAATATTGTTGACATTTCCTCTATTTGCTTTCATAATTACAATTGGTTCTGTTTCGAGTTTTTTGAGTCTTGCATGTTTTTTTTGAGGTGACATGTCTGTAGTAAACTCAAAACATCAATTAAAATTGAAAAATCACTAAATATAAAAGAAAAAATCTTACAAGTAGTACAGGTTTTTAACTATTTCTAACAATTTATTACAACTCTATTGGTACATTTATTTTGCATATAACTTCAACCTTTTTAGTAATTATCTTTACATATAAAAATTTTTTTTTGTAGTAATTACTTTAAAATGAAATTGTAACTTATTAATAAACAAAGAAAAAGATTTAAGTATAAATATTTGAACAAAAAAGTTGAATAAATACAATGAAATAAATACAATCAAATGACATTATTTATACATCTAAAAAATTAAAAACTTAATTATTGGAAAATACTTTTTTAGTAAAAAATGGTTAATATTTAAAAATAAATAAAAATTTTTTTTTTATCATACCCAATGAACACTTCTCAAAGTAATGGTTTCGATTAAAAAATATATACCACCCTCTTCAATTAATTGCTCCTATATAAAAACAATATTTAATCCACTGCACATTTTATGTAAAGCATGTCATTGTAAATATACCCCTGATCAATCATTTGCTCCTGGCTGAGAGGAATATGAAAAAATTTTGTAACTGTTGCAATATTGTCTTTAGGAGATTCGCCTATTGGTGATTCTGGACATATAAGTTGTGTTTCAGAAAATTGGTTCATTATAGAAACAGTAAAAGTATCATAAAGAAATGAAGTTCTATTTTGATTATATGTAATCTCCCACATTCCAGGGCGATTTTTATCTTTGTATAAAAGTAAGAATGATTTTCCAGCTCCTGCTGCAGCAAAATTTTCAGAATAATATGCATGATTTTCCTTTAATAGTTCCATATGAGTACAGTTAATGCTCCAAACAAAAATAAGATTCACATTGTAAACATTGTACAGACTAATGTCATTTCTTTTTTCAAAACCACTGTTATATACTATAACTCCTGTTAAATTTGTATAATACTCATTAAGTTTGTACATTATATGACCTCTCAGTAGAGCAAATTGGTACTTGAGGATTTCACGATTTCTTGTTTCATCTAAATAGTTATACAATTCATACAAGCGCAATTCAAGATCACTCATTTGGACCATAACAGCTTCTGAATTCACATTACTTTCAACATAACCATTAATTCTAAAAACATTTACTTTATCAAAAAGTCGCTGAACTCTTCCTCTTAATGCAGCACATTTTCTCAGCCGAGTTAACAAAAATTCACTTTCAAATGAGTTCATCTTATCTAACTCTGACATTTTGAAATTCTTAACAGATGAAAGCACCTTTTTTACTGAATTTTGCTCCAATAATAAATCTTGATTGTTTTTGAATTGAATTGCACTCAGCTGTTCTTGAAATAAAGACTTTTTTTCTTCAATAGACTTTAATTGCATTTTTTCAAAAGCAGTAAACTCTAACTGTAAATCCTTTTTACAAAATTCAATATCTTCCATTTGAATTGTCAATAGAGAAGAAATCATTTTTGATAAATGTTTAAATTGTGAACTAACAGTTGTTGTATTTACTGTCTCAAATTTAAAAATCCTTCTAAAATGCTTTAACATAAAATCTTGTTTTTTCAATTTCATGCTATTAAAAAAGAGTGGACTTGACACAACAAGTATTACCATAACTACCACAAGCAGAATAGAAGAGCATAAAAATATGGAATGAGAAGATTGTTTCTGGTTTAGGTGATGCTTATCAACCGGAACTGTGCGTAATATTTTTTCAAATTGTGCAAAACGAGAAAGAATTTTTTTTTCGAGTGCTTCAAGTTTTCTAGATAATTGGGAGCTATCTGTTAAATCAGCTTGTAGTGGTAAAGTCTTCATTGAGCATTGCTAAAAAAAAAGAATAATTTTGCTAGTTCACCCCATTGTGTTTGCATCATGTTAGAAAAAAATAAAAAATAAAACTGAGGTTGTAAAATAAAAAAGTAAAAAATAAACTGTGGTAATTTTTTATTACTTATCTATCAAAAAGTTAATATTAATATTCTGTATTGGTTATTTTGATTATAATATATCATATATAATTTTATATCTTTATTAATTATATATACTTTGTATATAATATATTATTTTGTATATAATATATAATTTTGTATATAATGTATTATTTTGTATATAATATAATATATTATTGAGTTATATTTCTTGTATACTGGTTAACATCAATACACAAAATTACTCAATTAAAGGGTTCTTGGGAATTTTTTATATTTCAAATTTCCAGTTACCTGGGAAAATTACCATAATTTCCCTGGAAAAAATTAAAATCAAAGAATTACTTGTGTATATATTTTATTATATTAAGAAAATTATTCATTTAAAATAAAAGTATATTAATGTCTGCAAAGCTATTTAATGCATATAATCAGACTTTAAAAGTCACCTAAAAAATTTAAAAATCAAAAATTGTTTTTATTAAATACGATTTAAAGCTAAAAGTCATTATTTCTAATACAAAACGCTAAATGCTCCCCAGTGGCTTGTAAAATGCGATTCAAAACAAACACATAAATTTCAAATACAAAACGCTAGTTACTCTTTAAAATTAGTAATTAAATTCAAGAAATTTCAAATAACATTCAGTTCTCCACGTATTGACAAGTTAAGTAAGTTTCAAAATATTTTTCTTTTCAATTTTTTTTTTCTAATATTTTAACTTTTTTTTAATTGCCAAAACATTGTTTTTAATCATGGGTAATTCAGTGTAAAAATATATTTTTAAAAAAAGCAGACGAACAAGCCAAATGTTTGAAATGTTTCCAACGTTCTTCAATCAATCAAAAAGCTGCAAAAGCATTAGGTAATTGTGATGCAAATTTGCTAACACAATTAAATTATTAAGTTGTAAGGGCTCATCAACCAGTGGATTAATAAGACATTTACAACATGTTCATGGATTTTCAATTCACGGAATATGCAAAAGTGAGTTCGTTTGTCAAGCATCAAATAAAAAATAATATCATCTTCCAAAAGGTAAAAACAATGTAATGAAACTCATGAATATTGTGCTATAACAAAAAATGAACTTATTATTAAAGTAAAATCACATAAAGAAAATATGAGAAATTTAGTCTAATGTTTGATAAATGGACAAATCTACGCAATCGAAGATATTTGAATATCAATATTCATTTCAATAAGTTATTTATTTATCTAGGACTGGGTAAACTTCATGGAAGCTGTCAGCTGAAGTAACAGTTGACCTAGTTAAAGAGAAACTATCAGAGTTTGCAATTATCTCTTCAGATGTTGTTGTATCAACCACTGATGCTGCTGTAGTAATGATCAAATCTGGTTTTATACACCAATTATGTTATAACCACAACATGGCTGTAATCAACGTTATTTATAAAAGAGATAAAAATTCTAATGTTCGTCACATTGTTTCTTTAGAAAAAAAACCTGGTTTTTCCAGTGATAATTCTAGCAAATCTGAAAATGATAATCTAAATGATTTCGAACCAAAAATATGTGAAAGAGAAGATATAAATGCAGCTTTACAAATGATTAGAATAATATTTAAGTTTTTTAAACATTGCCTAAAAGAAACTCCATTTTACAAGACTATGTAAAAGTAGAGTACAGAATTGAACTCAATTTACTGTTAGATTGCTGGACCAGGTGGAACAGCATTGTGACAATGGTTTTTAAAAGTGATGGACACAGTGAAAAATACATTAAATGAGTTGAACTTTCTATAGCTATTTCACGGTATTTATGCATCAGTTTTAAAAAATGTTTCCAATGCTCTTTAACCAATCAAATTAGCTGCAGAAACAATAAGTAAACGTGCTAAAACTCTTTGTGAGTTTGCAACGCCTTTTTTCCTTTCCGGAAATAAAAAATATATGACAAATACGTTTGTTTTGATTTTCCATTTTTCAACAGAAGCCAAACAAAAACTACACAACCAATCAAAAAACCAATTTTTACTGATTGACAGTTGAAGTACCAACTATCAAATGACAAAATACGTTTGACATTTCAATTACGTCAGCAAACCTAAAAATTCAACTAAAACCATCTTACAAAGCAGCCTTACAATTTTAAAAAGTTATTTCCCAACAAATTAAGTTCAAAATATGTTTTGTTCAAGTAAAATTAATTTTTTCTCAATATATGCATACAAATTTTAAATACGCATACAAGGGTGGAACAATTTTCATAGCAAAAAAAAAAAAGTTTGAAAATAATCATTCCTGAGATGCAAATGTCTATTAATTATAATAAGAAAATAAAAAAATATTTTCTGATTTTGATGAGCTCATGAGGTTCTTCTTTGGTTTCTAAATTCTTGACAGGTCCTAATATTTTTGCACTTTTTTTTTCCTAAACCATATCAACCTGGGATTCAAAAAATTGTTTTATAAACAATAATTTTATTAAACAAAAATTTTTGTAAAAAAAATATTTGCAAAAATATACCTAAAACTCCTGTTTTACGAGGAATAAAAAATGACTCTATTTTTTATTCCTTTATTTTTAAATAAAAACAAGTATTATTCTCAAAATCATATTATTTTGCTTCTTTTAAAAACATTTCAACAATATTAGGACCCGCCAAGAATTTAGAATCCAAAGAGGAAGCAAAAATTTTAAAAATCATTACACCCTAATGCATACATACACAAATTTCGTATATACATGCAAATAAAATTTTTTACATATAGAATGCTCTACACAATATTTTTACATCTATTAAATAGACAACATTCAACACATAAGTGCATTAAATCTGTGTAAAAATTATGTGTAATTACTATTGACATTTATAATTACTATTGACATTTATAATTACTATTGACATTTATAATTACTATTGACATTTATAATTACTATTGACATTTATAATTACTATTGACATTTATAATTACTATTGACATTTATAATTACTATTGACATTTATAATTACTATTGACATTTATAATTACTATTGACATTTATAATTACTATTGACATTTATAATTACTATTGACATTTATAATTACTATTGACATTTATAATTACTATTGACATTTATAATTACTATTGACATTTATAATTACTATTGACATTTATAATTACTATTGACATTTATATCACAAAATTACTATTGACATTTATAAATTTGTTTAAAAATTGAATCAAATTAAAAATATATATCAATATAATCATCAAAAAATGTCAATCAATTAAAACAGATTCATATCAATATAATCATCAAAAATTGTACTCAATCAAAATAGATTCAACAATAAAACTAAGATTAAATACAAAATTAGATTTAACAATAAAAAACTTGTGTCCATAATATTAGATTCAACAATAAAAAACATTCTTTCATACCTTAATAAAATAAAAAATATCATTAAAAAGAAAAAAAAGAAAAAAAAGGACACTTACACTTTGAGACTTTGTTTGTACTTGGAAATGAGATGTGTCTGAACTATGGGTGTCTTCGTGATCCTTGAAAAATTAAAATTGAAATAAAATTTTAAATTACACCATAAACTATAAATTGTCATAAGCTTTAGTGATGAAATATTGTTGCCTGAATATTACTATTAGTTTAATTGGTCGATTGACCCCTTAAAAATATAAGAACTACTAAGCAAAATCTAAAATTAAATACTTTAAAGACAATTGTTTATTTTAATACATGTGCTTGCGTGCATGTGTACACATTTGTCTCTAGCGTAAATGAACATAATATTTATATGTATAGGTATTTACATATTTATTCAAGGCTGCACCACGCGCATCCCTCACCACCTTCTTGAGATCTCTAAAAAAATATTGAAGCTGTATTAAAAACTTGGATTGGGTTAGGGATTTTAGGCTTTTGTAGTATAGTCTTTTTATATTTCAATATTGACTACCATGAGGTAGAGTGCAGGCGGTGAGATCTGTTGCAAGGACACGCCTCTGACAAGTGGCGTTAGTGCAGGTCTTGGACTCCACGAAACATTATTGGTGATTGCAGTGCATTCCTGAAGAGGGGGATCACATTCATTTACTAATTAGTTCTAATTGACTATATGACACCAACACTTTTTACCTCCTACACCCATGAACATTGCTTTGTGAGCTTTATATTATATATCTGTTACACTAATGATATTTATAAATCTTGCTGTTACACAGGTGGTTACAATTTTCAATTTATTATTGTCTAGTGCTTAGACCATTATTTGTACCACATTTATAACTCTATATTTTAGGAGAAAGCATACCAATACAATATCATCGTGGATTAGTGTGCTGCATCATAAACTGAAGATTCAGAGTTGGCCCTTCAAGGGGCATGCATTTTTATTTTTTATTTTTATATTGTTCCAACTATTATTTATTATCACTTTTCTTACAATTTATAATCTGCTTATTTTATTTTATTACTTTATTTTGTAAGATATTTTTAGCCATGAAGCTATTATTACACCAGCATTTTATATAGATTTTTTAACTCATAAGCCATTGATAAAGCCTGAGTTATGGTTCCCCTACTCCTGAGTCATGAAATTTTATTCCTCCTACTAAACAGTCTTTAGATTTATTTCCAATTTTTACCTAAGAACATCATCTACAATCTGAATCTATTATCACATCTCCCAGGTCTACATAACTTGATGGCTTTGTTGGTCACTTTTTATGATCATTGCGTCACATAAACCATTATAAATATATTCTTTGTGGCTGGTGAGCTTCTGACTTCTTTTAATGACTCTGCTGATACTCAAGCACACATTAATTCGGAAACTTCATAATAGGTGCCAGATCAGTGCTCGCTGACTATGTATAACATCTTCCCCAAAGATGCCCAGCAACGCACACATTTGTTTATCAGAAGGAAGTGGAAAAAGAAGTATGCAAACCACAAGCAATCATTTACAAATAAGAAACTTTCAAATGCAACCACTCTCTCAAAACATATATAGAAAACTATATATAAGGAATATAAGGAAAAACTAAAAGAAATACCTGAATTAACTTGCTCTATCCTAAAAAAAGCCCCTGCCTACAACAATACAACAAAAAAATGTTTACTTTGTTTATATGAAAAACTAATCCTTTTACTTTATAAAAATGCTGAAGAGCTACTTAATAAAAAAACAGAGTTAATTTCCAAATGTCGTCACGAAAAAAATTTCTATTAAGCAACCACAAACCTAAAGATTAGATACACGCGATCATAACAATAAAAAAAGTTTTTTCCGTAAAGGTTTTTTCTGTATAGTTTCAATTGTATATTTTGTATTTCACCTGATGATTGCAACAGCATGAAACTTAAAGTTGTGAAAATCACATAGTTTTATTTTCTACTATATATATATTGTATATTTAGATCATCGAGCACTTTCTTGATAGTATATGCACGAAATAGCATCACTATATATATATATATATATATATATATATATATATATATATATATATATATATATATATATATATATATATATATATATATATATATATATATATATATATACAGTTAGGTCGGCATTCGGCAATGCTGACCTAACTGCCAACCTCAAAGTGTTTGAGGTCGGCAAAAAATTGCAGACCTTGTTTCTATGTTTCATAGTAACCCCTTTGTGTAGTTTTTTTTTTTTCCGACCTGATGCTGACCTCTAGCAGTTTAAGGTCTTAAACTGTTGGAGGTCTGCATATTTTTTCCTAATAAGGTCCAAAGAGGTTGGCCTTATTTTTCCTGAATCCGAGGGTTGTGTGTGTGTGTGTGTGTGTGTGTGTGTGTGTGTGTGTGTGTGTGTGTGTGTGTCTATATATATATATATATATATATATATATATATATATATATATATATATATATATATATATATATATATATATATATATATATATATATATATATATATATATATATATATATATAATTTTCAAACAAATAACAACTTTTTTAAAACTTTTTAACAACATGTTTCATCAATATCAATTGACATCATCGGGTATAAAAAATTAGTTACAATTTCTGTATATAAACATTGTTTTTTTTTTGGTTACATTAAAAATTTAATAGTTTTTTACAATAGTTACCATAGTTACATAAAATAAATAACTACCATGAAATTTTACAAAAGATAATACAAAATTGTAACTAATTTTTTATACCTGATGGTGTCAATTGATATTGATGAAACATGTTGTTAAAATGTTTTAAAAAAATTGTTATTTATTTGAAAATTATTACTAAATTAGTGCTACTTAGACCATTTAGAAATATACACACACACACATATATATATATATATATATATATATATATATATATATATATATATATATATATATATATATATATATATATATATATATATATATACATATATATATAATTTATCTGTAGAAAACAGTTTTGACCATTTTCCTTTTTATCATCCAGTTCAACAACTGGATGTTAAAAAGGAAAATGGTCAAAAATATGTTCTTCTAAATCAGGCTGAAGTTTCCGAATTTTATTAGCATTACTACCCTCCAACCCACCTTTATTATATTCATGCCAAATTATCCCACGATTACTTAGCCAGACAGTGATATAAGGCTCTATACATTTGAAAAAACTATCACAATCTTAATCATCAAATGAAGTTCTGCTGGAGGAATTACATCAAGTACATATCTCCAGCTACATCAAGTAGACATGGATGTGTAACATTTCTTAGATTCATTTTCAGCAACTCTTCCATTCAGCAACTCTTCCATACAGCAACTTTAACTTATCAAAAGCTACCAGTTCTCCCAGATTTGACTTTTCACTGTCTCAATATAAACAAGATTACTTTCCATTATTTCCTTTAACTATATTTAGCAGTGTAAGATCAGTGTAAGATATTTAGCAGTGTAAGATCAGCTACTAAGTAAAACTTTAAACTTTTGAGCATTATTTTTTCAATAAGAATTTAAAGGTTTGGATGATTTTCAGTAACATTTTTGAGAAAAGTCAATACCAGTACTTTATTAACACCAGTGTTCTTGTATTTTTGACAGTCAATATCTGTTACTATATTCAGCCTTGGAAATAACAAAAATGAGGTCAGCAATATTTTGCTGATCTTTTTTTGTATATATATTCAGCTTTGAAAATAGAAAAAATGAGGTCATCAATATTTTGCTGATTTTTTTTTGTAAAAAGCAATTTTTTTGCCTTTTACAAAATCTAAATTGCCAAATGCTGACCCTAATTTCAAGTGGTTTGAAATATTTCACATACACTAGATCTTTAATAATAGTATGTAGAATTTTATTATTTCCAACTTTTTTCTTTGTAGTAATTAAACATTGTAGGCCGCAAATTTAAAAGGAAAAGGGACAAATTAGCTTCCTCAACAGGATATACACCAAACAATTTCTCTTTGTTGACAAGTCTGTTTATTAGTCTTTAATTAATTATTATTAGTCACCAATTAAAATTTTTGAAGTTTAAAAAATTTTTAACCTAAACATAATACATTTGACTAGTGAATGTTAACTTACTAATAAAGATCAGCTAGCATCCTATTTAAATTACGTTTTTTAATACCATATGCTGGTTGAAAAATTAAAATCAGTTAATAATGGTAAATAACTGTTATCATCAAATAATATCTGGGTTCCAGATAAATGCTTCAATTTTCCCTAACAAGTAAAAACAAAAAATATATATTTTTAATTAAAATGGTTATAAGATCTTTCCTTGCTATTCTAAAATTGAAGATGAAGTATATTATCTTATTTCTTGGCATTTTACTCTAAAATTGAAAACAGATTATATTGTCTTATTTCTTGGCTTTGTTATTCTAAAAGTGAAGATTGAGCATATTGTCTTCCTCGCACACTTTTGGTGAAAGTTTACCAAACAAGTATGTATTATGAAAATTTTTCTAAGAATTCAATATTTGACATAATTCTGTAAAAGTTTTCAATGATAATGAAAAGTCTATTGATGGATTACAGACCAACATGGACCAAGTCCATGAATTGTATAATATACTGTTATAATAAAACTGTTGATGGACTACACAAAAAAAACAAAAAAACAAAAAATGAGTAGCTTCCTCGATTGTAGTGGCCCCCTTGGGCCTTGGAGAGGTGAATAATTAAAAAAAAAAAAAAAAAAACATAAACGATTATAATAAAACTGTTGAGGAACTACACATTAACAATCATGAGGAAACTGTTGATAGATTACACATCAATGATCATGAGTTGTCATAATATGAAGAATGACATTTTTTATATTGGAATTTCTCTAGATATATCTAAAAGTAGAATATAGAAGACAAAACAAACAAAAACTTGCATCAATTGTTAAGACAACAATGTTTTTGGGTCATACTGATTTGTTTCTACGAGGTCATAGAGATAATTAAAAATAGCAAGAAGAAATATGAGGTCCTTTTTTATATGCTTTATTGAATTTGAAATGAGAACAAATCAATAAAATGTACATTTATTGATTTGCTTACCATTCTTTAAACTTTGAAAAATTGGGTTTAGAAAAAATTGCAGGGGCCATTTTTATGATTAAGCAACTTAAATGTCAAGCGAATACAAAATATTATTTTTTATCTTATTATGGTATTATTTGTCCACTGTGCCTCACTTAGCTTAGTTTGAAAAGTTACCAAATCCAGCAAGTAAAAAAACTTGAATTTTAGCAAGTTAAAAAATATCTTATTTTTTTAACTTTTTTCCTAAAGTTCTTTCCCTCTTCCTTCCTTTTCCCTCTTCCTGGTCTTTCACTCTTCCTCCTTTTTCCCTTTCTCTCATCTTTTCCTTTTCCTGCTCAAAATTAATTGACACATGTCAAACTTGATAAGTACAAAAGCTTTAATGGTGATGTTTTTTAATAGTTGATGTTGATGTTTGATTATAGCATGTGATCTTTTTTAATAGTTATTCAGCAGTTTTTTAAGTATAAAAAAGAAACACCTAAAAAAGCATCTTCTTTTATGAAGCTATTGACAAATTTTTTTCTTTTACTGTTTTTTTGATTTTAACTAAATAGCATAAGGATTATTTTTATGGAACATCGTCACCCAAAAAACTAAAATATTTAAATGTAAACTAAATATTTTGATATTTTCCATCAAAATAAATATTTTGATATTTCCAATTAATTAATTGAAGCTCTTAAATAATCACTCAAAATAAATAAAAATAAATTTCTTTAAAATAACAACTGGTGTAAAATTGCTCTTGCATTGCGAAAAACATTCAAACTTAATATACTTAATAACAAAAATAAAATTAAAACGTAACTAAAATAAATAATAAACTATAACAATAAGATTATTTGAATTAAGTTTGGAATAAATAACTTGTTTATTAACTGCGCAAATTTAAAAGTTTAAAAAAAGATTCTTAAAAAGATTCTTCGCACAAAAGCAAAAAAAATTAAATCACTTATTTAAAAAGTTGAAAATTAGCACAGTAATGTTACACTTTTTACTTTTTAAATAAACATTTTCTAGTTTGATTCACATACCATACAATGGCTAGTAACTTCATTTTTCATTTTATTTAATTATTAATTATAATAAAATTATAATAATAATAAAATTATATATATATATATATATATATATATATATATATATATATATATATATATATATATATATATATATATATATATATATATATATATATATATATATATATATATATATATATATATATATATATATATATATATATATATATATATAACCCTCAGTATCAAGAAAAATAAAGTCAGCAATAAATTGCTGACCTCAAACTGTTAGAGGTTGGCATCAGGTTGGCGAAAAAAATTTGACATAAAGGGGTTACTATAAAACATAGAAACGAGGTGGGTGATTTTTTGCTGACCTTAAAAATTTTGAGGTCGCCAGTAATGTCGACCCTAACTCCGAGGGTTGTATATGTATATATATATATATATATATATATATATATATATATATATATATATATATATATATATATAAATTCATTATTATTATAATTTTATTATAATTAATAATTAAATAAACCGAAAAATAAAGTTGTTTTCAAAATAAAACTTAAATAAAAATAAAAACCTGTAAACGAAGCAGTTCACCCTCCCAACCACAATCTTCATTCGGACATTTAACAGTCAATGAAAGAATCAGGCGGTGAATCATTATGTTTGAAAATACCTAAAATGTATTTAAAAACTATTATAATTTTTTTTACCTGTTAATATAATATTTAAACATTAATATTTTTTGCATTAAAAGATTTGAGATAAAATGTTAGATTAATTTAAAAAATATTATATCAAAAATAATTGAGAATTAAAAGTGAAAAATAGAAAAATTCCAACATAACCAATTTACAGTTAACTTATCAGTATGAAGTTGGAAAAATAAATTAGATATCCTTGAAATGTTTCAAACATAGGAGTAATTAAATGGTATTCATACCTCAGACTCACGTACAATTTCACGACACTGAGGACATTGAATTTCACAAGATCTTAATAAGAAAAAAAAAAAGAAATAAGAAAAAATAATAATAAGAAATTGAATTTCACAAGATCTTAATAAGAAAAAAAAAAAAGAAATAAGAAAAAATAATAATAAGAAATTGAATTTCACAAGATCTTAATAAGAAAAAAAAAAAGAAATAAGAAAAAATAATAATAAGAAATTGAATTTCACAAGATCTTAATAAGAAAAAAAAAAAAGAAATAAGAAAAAATAATAATAAGAAATTGAATTTCACAAGATCTTAATAAGAAAAAAAAAAAGAAATAAGAAAAAATAATAAGAAGAAATTGAATTTCACAAGATCTTAATAAGAAAAAAAAAAGAAATAAGAAAAAATAATAATAAGAAATTGAATTTCACAAGATCTTAATAAGAAAAAAAAAAAGAAATAAGAAAAAATAATAATAAGAAATTGAATTTCACAAGATCTTAATAAGAAAAAAAAAAAGAAATAAGAAAAAATAATAAGAAGAAATTGAATTTCACAAGATCTTAATAAGAAAAAAAAAAAGAAATAAGAAAAAATAATAATAAGAAATTGAATTTCACAAGATCTTAATAAGAAAAAAAAAAAGAAATAAGAAAAAATAATAATAAGAAATTGAATTTCACAAGATCTTAATAAGAAAAAAAAAAAGAAATAAGAAAAAATAATAATAAGAAATTGAATTTCACAAGATCTTAATAAGAAAAAAAAAAAGAAATAAGAAAAAATAATAATAAGAAATTGAATTTCACAAGATCTTAATAAGAAAAAAAAAAAGAAATAAGAAAAAATAATAATAAGAAATTGAATTTCACAAGATCTTAATAAGAAAAAAATTTTTTATACTGAGTACTTTTTTCTTTTACATTTAAAGCAATAAAAAAAACATTCAAATACCAAATAGTTTAATTTTCTCTATAAAAAATAAAGAGAATTAAAACATATACACAACCGTTTGCATATTTTCAATACTTACGTACATGAATTATCTGTAAAGTGATGAAATAAAATAATAATAAAATAATACTACTCTTTCTAATGAAATTGCAACAATTTCTTTGTACTACATTTTTGATTCATGTGAACTGTTTTACAAAGATGTATAATTCTTGTTATTAAAAAAGTTGCTAATGAAGAATTTAAATGGTAGCAATCGAGAATTTAAATGGTATACCATTGTATACCATATGGCCTTTGTCTGAAAAAATATTCCATCAATTCAGTTGGTATTTGTTTAGTACCTAGCGCTGAACAAATACGAACTGAACTGATACAACCTTTTTTCCGGAATTTTTATTGAGATAAATTGTAGTATGTTTTATGAAGATGGCAATGAGGATTGCTATCTTCATAAAACAAACTACAATTTATATCCATAAAACATACTACAAATTATCTCTACAAAACATATTACAATTTATATCCATAAAACATACTACAATTTATCTCTATAAAACATATTACAATTTATCTCCATAAAACATACTACAACTTATCTCTATAAAACAAACTACAATTTATATCCATAAAACATACTACAATTTATCTCTACAAAACATATTACAATTTATATCCATAAAACATACTACAATTTATCTCTATAAAACATATTACAATTTATCTCCATAAAACATACTACAATTTATCTCCATAAAACATACTACAACTTATCTCTATAAGTCATACTACAATTTATCTCCATAAAACATACAACAATTTATCTCCATAAAACATACTACAATTCATCTCTATAAAATATTTTTCATTTGGGTTCTCACCTCATCTTGATCAGGGGCTTGTATTCTCATAGTATTTTTTCCACAACTTTTTTGATAAAAATGAAAAAGGAATTTGCTCTGAAAATTATCAGTGTAGTTAAATGAAAATCTATGACAATTTGTATACTTCTTTTTTATAGTCCCAAAAAGTATCAAGTTCACTTTCATCAACTAATAACTCACCAATGTTTATTTCATCACTGTTATCACCAATAACTAATTATAAAATTCATCCATATTGGAATAAGTGGAAATCTTTTAAAAAGCTATACCTTTTAAAATAAGACAAGTAGTTTCAGTGATGTATTTATTATTCTATTCTTCAAATCGATAATAAACATTTCTAAATGTTATAAAAACGTGCACAAAAAGCAGAAGTTTTAATGACCAGTTGATCACAAGGAAAAGTGGATGATTAATTATTACCCATGGTAAGTCAAAGTGAAATAAAGAACTAAAAAGATTTTAGCTTCTTAAGATTTTTAAGAAAGAGTGGGAACACACTGATATAACCCCCTGATATACACACACTGATATAACACAGTGATATAACACACTGATATAAACCAACTAAAGATTTGGGTTTGGCAAGAAAGAGTGGGAACCCTGATATACACCAACTAAAGATTTGGGTTTGGCGAGAAAGAGTGGGAACCCTGATATACACCAACTAAAGATTTGGGTTTGGCGAGAAAGAGTGGGAACCCTGATATACACCAACTAAAGATTTGGGTTTGGCGAAAAAGAGTGGGAACCCTGATATACACCAACTAAAGATTTGGGTATGGCAATTAAAATCTACACATAAAGAACAAATATTACAACAAAAAGAAATTACATTATACTTCTTCTCTTCTGAAAAAAAAAAATGAACTTAAAATTTGCGTTAAAAATAATTTAAAAAGTATTATATAAGTTTAATTTACAAAAAAATTTATCACCTTTAAAAAAAGAAAAAATAACTCAAACATTTCAAATGAATAAAATTAAAAAACTTTGCTTTAATAAAATTAAAGCAAAGTTTTTGTTTATCTAAAGACCAACCTATTTTGTGCTTTTTTCATTAATCTTTTAAAACAACCTCGACACATACCATGGCCACATCTAAATTGAACTGGATTGCACATAAGTTTTAAACATATGACACAAAAGAAATCATTTGTTGCTTCTCCTACTATTTCTACATCATACCCTTCCATTTTTTTGTTCCTTAGGCTCTATAAGCAAAATCTTTAATATTTTTGAATAAAACTTTTAAAACAGATTTTATTTTGTATAAAATGTTATTTAATATTTGGAAAGAAACAGGTTTTATTACAATTTATTTGATTTATTCTAACTCAAAAGTTAAAGTAATCAATATATTCAAACATAAGTATTTAAAATAAGAAAAAAAAAAGATTTTAACTAACTAAATTTATTCTATTGAAAAATGTGTATAAAATTTTAAATATTTTTGTAAGATATAATTTATAGACTCGAGTAATAATGACAAAATTGCAAAAAAACAAGACTAATGTTTACATAATACATTAACAAAAATTTAAGAAAATTACAATTAAAAAAAGAAAAGAAACTTTAAGACTATAAAAAATTATTTCTTCAACCGTGAAGCTTTAAACTTTGAAACGGGTTTATTGTTACCTAAATACTATAAAAAAAAAATCCAATAAAATCAAAGCATTTTCAAAAGTTAAAAATTCCACTCCAAAAGTTAAAAAAAATATAAGAAAAAAAATACCTCTTGAATTTTTACAGATTGATTGTCATGTATATTCCTTTCTAGTACTGTACCAGAAAATGGCTGGGGGGAAAAAAATTATATATTTGTAATTAATTTTTTTATTCATAATTAAGTGCAGTTCTTAAAACCACACTTATTTAACCAATTTTAAAAATTACCGATAACAAACACTCTTTTATAACATATTTACCAAAATCAAACACTCTTTTATAACATATTTACCAATAGTGAACACTCTTTTATAACATAGTTACCAATAGTGAACACTCTTTTATAACATAGTTAACAATAGCAAACACTTTTTTATAACATATTTTGCATATGCAAACGCCAAATGTTATTTGTACAAAAATCAAATGTTATATACTATATAACAAAAATTAAATTATATTATTTGGGTATTATATGTTAATGACCTCAAAATTATCTAATATAATTGGGTATTATATGTTAATGATTTCAAAAATAAATTAAGAGTTTCAGGTGTTGATATTTTGGTAGCATAAATCATATCCCATAAATCACATAGCTGAGATAGGTAAATGAAAAAGTGGTATTAAGCTAATAGATTGACTGTGCCTAATACAGTTTCAATACCTTAAACGGGTAAAATAGAAAAAAAAGCACTTTGTTCAAAACATTGTTCTTGGTAATGTTTCAAAAAATGATGTTGAGTAAAACTATTGCAAACCTGACCTCTTCACAAAAGGTAAATCCAAAAAAAGAAAAAGTAAAAAATAGCATTGAATAAAACTGAACCTAAATAACCTAAATAAACCTGACACTCTTCACGAAAAGCTTAATAACTTTTTTAAATTAGGAATTAGTAAGATTTCATTTTTCTGGAATATT